CCCCCCCCCTTCTGTGTGTTGGGGGGGGGGGTGGGGAAGAGGGGCAGGGAGAGGAGAGTTGCAGTTCCACTCAGGTACCAATGCCCTGCACCAGAAAGATGTACATATGCATGGGCAAATCGTATTGGACATAACTGCAAAGAGCCATGACAACCACACGGTGGTCTCAGGTGGTGTACGTGCGAGTGTGTGTGTGTGTGTGTGTATGTGTGTGTTTCAGACACGTTTTCATGGCACATCCCGATAATCTCTCAAATCCGGACGAAACTGGGAACGATGGATCGACGAATGCGGATGATCATGATCCGGAACCGATTGTTGCTGAATGCAACGCGGAAAAAGATGCTGCTGGCCGGAATCCGGAACAGAATGCGGCTAGGGATAATACAGAAAAGGATATAGCTTGCCGAAATCCAAAACAAAATATGAAGTAGGTCGTAATAGTTTTATTATTTTCGATGATTTTTTTTTCTGTTTTTCCTTTTTCAGATGAAAAAGAGAAAATAGAACTGAAATTATAAAATTTGTCCGAAAAATTTGTTCTATGAAAAAAAGGGGGCCAAAAAAAAGGCACGCAGGGATTGAAAACTTTAAAGATTTAGAGACTTCAGAATTTTTCAAAAAACTTTTAAAACTTAAAAACTTTTTAGCAGTTAAAAAACTCACTTATCGGTTTGAGCTTAATTTGTTTTGCGAAAAAAAAAAGAGTTGGAAAGGAGGCGCAAAATTGGAATATCTCATCCAAAAATTCGTTTTTTCGAAATGTAAACATAAAATTCGTCCTTTTTTTTCTAAATTCGAAGTATGAATAATGCACTTGTAAATCCGTTTTGCGGAGGAAATTTAGAAAAGAATCACAAATTCAGAATATTTCGTTCGAAAATCGGTCCCGTAGAAGCACAGAATATCATACACATGCTTAATCCACTTGTAAATTCGTTTTTTGGTATACTTAGAAACAGCAAGCTGGAAAAAACTCATCCGAAAATTTTTTCCTCCGAAATGCAGGGATTGAAAATCACACCCGCGGACTTGAATAAACTCACTTGCAAGCCAGTTGTAGTATCCAGATTGACTCGGGAAGCCTAAATGGCGAAGGCGCGAAAGATTACAGCATGAGAAAACAATTTGAGAAAAGAAGAAGGTAAGAGTGAGATAAGGCGTTTCGATCCATTTTATGTATGAAAATTTAGAAAGAGAGCGCAGGACCGGATTATTTCGTGAAAAAAAAAAAAAAAAACACGAAACCGTAATTTCAATCCAGAAGGGTACCTAACGGAAAAATACTTATTAACACTTCCTGTTTTGAAGTACTGTCGTTGCAAGCGTCTCTGAAACTGGCAATTTCAATGTGGTGGATAAAGAAATTGAAGAATTCATAAGGCGCGAAAAAGGAGTGAATGAGACGACGACGATGACACGAGCCGAGCAGTTGGCACTGGCCATAAGCTATTGTCGGAAGAACCTGCGGAGAACGAGTTTAACAGGCGTAAATTACCATTCGCGTATCTTTTTTCGAATCACAAAAGT